GCACCAATTGATCAATGATTCCCAGCATGGCTTCACAAGCAGGCATTCATGTCTAATAAATCTATTAACATTCTTTTCATCAGTTTTCGAAACGGTAGACGAGGGGCACAATTATGATGTGGTATATCTCGACTTTAGCAAAGCCTTCGACAGAGTCCCCCACGAAAGACTAATTAGAAAGGTAGAAGCTCATGGCATCATAGGTAAATATCCTTAAATGGATTAGGGCGTGGTTACAGGACAGGAAACAGCGAGTGAGCATTAACGGCACTAAATCCCATTGGAGCAACGTCACTAGTGGAGTTCCCCAAGGCTCAGTACTTGGACCATTATTATTTATTATATACATAAACGACATAGATATCGGCATAGACAGCAACATAAGTAAATTTGCTGATGACACTAAAATAGGACGTGTTATTAAATCTGACGAGGACTCCGCAAAGCTACAAGAGGATCTAAACAAATTTTTCGAAAGGTCTGGAAAATGGCAGATGAAATTCAACATGGACAAATGTAAAGTACTCAGTATAGGAGATGTAAACAGGGAAACCAGTTACCTGATGAACAATGATGCCATTGAGAAATCCGACTGAAAGAGAGAGTTATGAGTAATGATAAGTAGGAACCTTAATCCAAGTAAACAATGTGTTTTTGCTCGTAACAAGGCTAATAAAGTACTTGGGTTCATACAAAGGAGTGTTAGTTACAAGACTAGCGAGGTCATCTTACGACTATATCTTGCGCTTGTGAGACCTCACCTGGATTGCGCAGGTCAGTTCTGATCACCGTCCTACAGAATGGATATGGAATCCTTGGAAAGAACTCAGAGGAAAATAACAAGACTAATCCCGGGCATTAGGAACCTTGAGTAAAGAGACAGGTTAAAGCATCTTAATTTGCACTCCCTTGAGAGACGTAGAGCGAGGGGCGACTTGATAGAGGTGTATAAATGGAAGTCAGGGCTAAACAAAGGGGACATTACAAAGGTACTTAAACTATCCAACCAGGAGCGAACTCGTAACAATGGTTTTAAATTAGACAAATTTAGATTTAGGAGCGAAATAGGTAAACACTGGTTTGAAAACAGAGTAGTGGATGAATGGAACAAGTTACCAAACATCATCATTAACTCAAATACGCTGGATAGCTTCAAACATAGGTTTGATGCTTAAATGCGCAATAGGGGTTGGGTGTAAACGGGACTGCCCAGTATGGGCCAATAGGCCCGCTGCAGTTTCCTCCATTCTTATGTTCTTATGTTCTTATGTTCTCATATCCTTGTGTCATGGGTTGCGTTGGGCCTACCACGCAACCCTACTCCAAATGTTTGTTTTACTAGGGATAACACACCCGGCGAGCCGTGACTAGACATCACATTCCATTAGTGGTATGTTAGCCAGTCTGTAGGGGCGATTGAGACAGTGTTGTACTGTTCATCGTGTCTCATACCACAAAACACACATTTTAGTTAGTATGTACTAAAGTCTAAACAATGGGTTAGTTAAGACGTCCTCACCGTCCCCTTCTTGAAGGGAATGGGACGCTACATGGAGTTCTTTACTACAACCCCATCCTATGGACTGTTAGTGACACGAGACTAAGTGTGCCAACCCAAGGTTGTTATTCCCCGTGGAAAGATCACGTATGGAAGCTTGGTTGCAACAAGACCGATCCAGGCTGGCGGTGAATGCATCACTTGAAGAATTAGGCTCTGTTAAGTCATACCCATAGTAGAGTAATCATATATGTGTCCCCGAGTTGAAAATTCCCTCTTTAGAAATTTAATTTTATTACGGCGTGAATGTGAGTAACTCCTATATCCTTGCAAATTGTAAATCATTGATGGAAGCTTGCCAAATAATTGTAAGTACCCGTATCTGAAGGTGATGACTGATTCGAAATGACAAAGTATAACCAATATTAGATGGATGTTGTAAATTACTGGAACTCATTAAATCATCATTTATCAAGTATAAATCACATGGAATGTCGGGTGGTGGAGTGAATTTCTACATAGATACACCATAATCTCCTGTAAGTAACCAGTGTGAAGGTATCGATCTCGACGGTAAGAAATTAAGAAACACAAAAGTTAATATAATATCCATCCAGGCATCCGTGACATCTTGTCTTCCCCCCCTTCTGTTCTTGGTGTATCACTTCTTCCCACCCCCTCCCCCTCTCCATCCTTTCTCATTAACCATCCACTTAGTTACCATCCTTTCTTCCTTGACTGATATCCCTCCCCTTCGTTAATGTCCCCTTTACCTGTCATTTTCTTGACTTGAAACGTAAGCCCTTGTTGGTCATGTCCTAACCTCAGCCTCCAGCGCTCCCTCCCCACCTAAAGAAAATGGTCCAAATAAATTTGTTTTCGATCCTTTATTTTAATACAGATACCTGCAAATCCTGTGCTCCCCTAACTCTGTTCTCTGAGTACTATTCTCATCTTAACTCTGTTCTCCCACCGCTGTGCTCCTCTAACCCTGTTCTCGCTGTGCTCCTCTAACTCTATTCTCCCACCGCTGTACTCCCCTAGCTCTGTTCTCCCACTGCTGTGCTCCTCTAACTCTGTTCTCCCACTGCTGTGCTCCTCTAAGTCTGTTCTCCCACCGCTGTTCTCCTCTAACACTGTTCTCCCACCGCTGTGCTCCTCTAACTCTGTTCTCCCACCGCTGTACTTCCCTAACTCTGTTCTCCTACCGCTGTGCTCCTCTAACTCTGTTCTCCCACCGCTGTGCTCCTCTAACTCTGTTCGCCTACCGCTTTGCTCATCTAACGCTGTTCTCCCACCGCTGTGCTCCTCTAACTCTGTTCTCCCCACTGCTGTGCTCCTCTAACTATGTTCTCCCACCGCTGTGCTCCTCTAACTCTGTTCTCCCACCGCTGTGCGCCTCTAACTCTGTTCTCCCACTGCTGTGCTCCTCTAACTCTGTTCTCCTACCGCTGTGCTCCTCTAACTCTATTCTCCCACTGCTGTGCTCCTCTAGCTCTGTTCTCCCACCGCTGTGCTACTCTAACTCTGTTCTCCCACCGCTGTGCTCCTCTATCTCTGTTCTCCTACCGCTGTGCTCCTCTAACTATTTTCTCCTACCGCTGTGCTCCTCTAGCTCTGTTCTCCCACCGCTGTGCTACTCTAACTCTGTTCTTCCCCATGCTGTTCTCCTCTAAGTATGTTCTCCCACCGCTGTGCTCCTCTAACTCTTCTCCCACCGCTGTGTGCTCCTCTAACACTGTTCTCCCACCGCTGTGCTCCTCTAACTATGTTCTCCCACCGCTGTTCTCCTCTAAGTATGTTCTCCCACCGCTGTGCTCCTCTAACTCTGTTCTCCCACCGCTGTGCTCCTCTAACACTGTTCTCCCACCGCTGTGCTCCTCTAACTATGTTCTCCTACCGCTGTGCTCCTCTAACTATGCTGCTGTGCTCTAACACTGCTCCTCTAACTATGTTCTCCTACCGCTGTGTCTATGTTCTCCCACTGCTGTGCTCCTCTAACTCCGTCCTCCTCCGCTGTGCTCCTCTAACTCCGTTCTCCTACCGCTGTGCTCCCAACTCTGTTCTTCCCCATGCTGTGCTCCTCTAACTCTGTTCTCCCACTGTTGTGCTCTTCTAACTCTGTTCTCTGTGCTCCCCTGAACTCTGTTCTACTACCGCTGTGCTCCTCTAACTCTGTTCTTCCCCATGCTGTGCTCCTCTAACTCTGTTCTCCCACCGTTGTGCTCTTCTAACTCTGTTCTCCCCATGCTGTGCTCCCCGAACTCTGTTCTACTACCGCTGTGCTCCTCTAACTCTTTTCTCCCACCGCTGTACTCCTCTAGCTCTGTTCTCATACCGCTGTGCTCCTCTAACTCTGTTCTCCCACCGTTGTCTCTTCTAACTCTGTTCTCCCCCATGCTGTGCTCCCTGAACTCCCTAACTCTGTTCTCCCACCGCTGTGCTCCTCTAACACTGTTCTCCCACCGCTGTGCTCCTCTAACTATGTTTCTCACCGCTGTGCTCCTCTAACTATGTTCTCCCTACTGCTGTGCTCCTCTACTCCGTTCTCCTACCGCTGTGCTCCGCCAACTCTGTTCTTCCCCATGCTGTGCTCCCCTAACTCTGTTCTCCTACCGTTGTGCTCAGTAAGTCTGTTCTCCCACCGCTGTGCTCCTCTAACTCTGTTCTCCCACCGTTGTGCTTCAGTAAGTCTGTTCTCCCACCGCTGTGCTCCCCTAACTCTGTTCTCCTACCGTTGTGCTTCAGTAAGTCTGTTCTCCCACCGCTGTGCTCCGCCTCTGTTCTTCCCCATGCTGTGCTCCCCTAACTCTGTTCTCCTACCGTTGTGCTCCCACCACTGTGCTCCTCTAACTATGTTCTCCTACCGCTGTGCTCCTCTAACTATGTTCTCCTACCGTTGTGCTCCTCTAACCCGTTCTCCTACCGCTGTGCTCCGCCAACTCTGTTCTTCCCCATGCTGTGCTCCCTAACTCTGTTCTCCTACCGTTGTTTCAGTAAGTCTGTTCTCCCACCGTTGTGCTCCTCTAACTCTGTTCTCCCACCCTGTGCTTCTAACTCTGTTCTCCCCCATGCTGTGCCCCTGAACTCTGTTCTACTACCGCTGTGCTCCTCTAACTCTGTTCTCCAACCGCTGTGCTCCTCTAACTCTTTTTCTCCCACCGCTGTACTCCCTAGCTCTGTTCTCCTCTCCCTCTAACTCTGCTCTCCCACCGTTGTGCTCCTCTCTAACTCTGTTCTCCTACCCTTTGCTCCTCTAACTTGTTCTCCACCGCTGTGCTCCTCTAACTCTGTTCTCCCACTGCTGTGCTCCTCTAACTCTGCTGTGCTCCTCTAACTCTGTTCTCCCACCGCTGTGCTCCTCTAACTCTGTTCTCCCACCGCTGTGCTCCTCTAACTCTGTTCTCCCACCGCTGTGCGCCTCTAACTCTGTTCTCCCACTGCTGTGCTCCTCTAACTCTGTTCTCCCACCGCTGTGCTGTTCTCCCACCGCTGTGCTCCTCTAACTCTGTGTCTCCCACTGTTGTGCTCCTCTAACTCTGTTCTCCCACTGCTCCCACCTCTCCTCTAACTCTGTTCTCCTGCTGTGCTCCTCTAACTCTGTTCTCCCACCGCTGTGCTCCTCTAACTCTGTTCTCCCACCGCTGTGCGCCTCTAACTCTGTTCTCCCACTGCTGTGCTCCTCTAACTCTGTTCTCCCACTGCTGTGCTCCTCTAACTCTGTTCTCCTACCGTTGTGCTCCTCTAACTCTATTCTCCCACCTCTGTGCTCCTCTAGCTCTGTTCTCCCACCGCTGTGCTACTCTAACTCTGTTCTCCTACCGCTGTGCTCTTCTAACTATGTTCTCCTACCGCTGTGCTCCTCTAACTATGTTCTCCTACCTCTGTGCTCCTCTAACTCTGTTCTCCTACCGCTGTGGTTCTCTAACTATGTTCTCCTACCGGGGTGCTCCTTAAACTCTGTTCTGCCACCGCTTTGCTCTTCTAACTATGTTCTCCCACCGCTGTGCTCCTCTAACTCTGTTCTCCCACCGTTGTGCTCCTCTAACTCTGTTCTCCCACCGCTATGGTCCTCTAACTTTACTCTCCCATCGCTGTGCTCCTGTAACTCTGTTCTCCCACCACTGTGTTCCCCTAGCTCTGTTCTCCCCATGCTGTGCTCCCCAAACTGTGTTCTCCCACCGTTGTGCTCCTTTAACTCTGTTCATCCCACCGCTGTGCCTCTAACTCTGTTCTCCCACCGCTGTGCTCCTCTCTAACTCTGTTCTCCCACCACCGTGCTCCTCTAACTCTGTTTTCCCCACCGCTGTGCTCCTCTTAACTCTGTTCTCCCACAGCTGTGCTCCTCTAACTCTGTTTTCCCACCGCTGTGCTCCTCTAACTCTGTTCTCCCACCGCTGTGCTCCTCTAACTCTGTTTTCCCACCGCTGTCCTCTAACTCTGTTCTCCCACCACCGTGCTCCTCTAACTCTGTTTTCCCACCGCTGTGCTCCTCTAACTCTGTTCTCCCACAGCTGTGCTCCTCTAACTCTGTTCTCCCACCGCTGTGCTCCTCTAACTCTGTTCTCCCACCGCTGTGCCTCATTAATTTTGTTCGATACTGGTGTGTTCTCTCACCTACCAGGGCTACGTTCGACCCCTTCTTCCACTCCTGTTTCCCTTTTGATCACTACTTCATTTCAGCCATTATACTTCTGTTCTTTCATTGTCCCCTCTCTGCCACTACTCCCGGTCTGCCACTGGTCTGCCACTGCTTCCGGTCTGTCACTGCTGGTCCACCACTGCTCCCGGTCTGCCACAGCTCCCAGTTTGCCACAGCTCCCGGTCTGCCACTGCTCCCGGTGTGCCCCTGCTCTCGTTCTGTCACTGCTCCCGGTCTGCCACTGCTTCCGGTCTGCCACTGCACTCGTTCTGTAGCTGCTCCTACTCTGCCATTACTCCCGGTCTACCACTGCTCTCGTTCTGCCACTGCTCCCGGTCTTCCACTGCTCGTTCTGCCACTGCTCCTACTCTGCCATTACTCCCGGTCTACCACTGCTCTCGTTCTGTAGCTGCTCCCGGTCTTCCACTGTTCTCGTTCTGTCACTGCTCCCGGTCTTCCACTGCTCTCGTTCTGTAACTGCTCCTACTCTGCCATTACTCCCGGTCTGCCACTGCTCTCGTTCTGTAACTGCTCCTACTCTGCCATTATTCCCGGTCTGCCACAGTTCTCGTTTTACCACTGCTCTCGTTCTGTAACTGCTCCTACTCTGCCATTACTCCCGGTCTGCCACTGCTCTCGTTCTGTAACTGCTCCTACTCTGCCATTATTCCCGGTCTGCCACAGTTCTCGTTTTACCACTGCTCTCGTTCTGTAGCTGCTCCCGGTCTTCCACTGTTCTCGTTCTGCCACTGCTCCCGGTCTTCCACTGTTCTCGTTCTGTCACTGCTCCCGTTCTGCCACTACTCCCGTTCTGCCATTACTCCCGTTCTGCCACTACTCCCGTTCTGCCATTACTCCCGTTCTGCAACTGCTCTCACTCTTCCAATATTTGCCCACTCAGGTTCTGACAGACGTTGCCATCTCCACTTTCTGAAACCCAAATAATTATCTTCTGCCATGACAAAAAATAACTATTAAATGCGAAGACCTTGCTGTTGGTGTTGGAGATGTGCGTGATGTAACTCGAGCACTCCACTCTTTATTTTTTCTGCTCCTCGTGTACTGGGGAAGGAGTGCTGAGGGAAGAGGTGTTGGGAAAGAGGTGGTGGGGTAGGGATGCTGGTGGAGGAGTACCGGTGTAGCAGGCTAGAATAAACCCCAGCCAAAGTAGCCCCGGGGTGAAAATGGGCCAACTCAATTTAACCCATTTAACCCAGGGTTTATTTGGTCCTCGGCTATACAGTATACCACCACGAGGGTTTCTTCGGCCTAGGCTGGAATAACCTCCCCCAAGCCAAACTATACCTCTCAATCAGCTGAACCGTGCCACGCACCAGCTGATTACGACTGCAGTTACCGTTACTTCATTTAGACTAAGGAGTGATTATTGACCCTCTTTGTTGTTCGCGCCTCTTTTCAAACCAACAAGCCGTTATATCACCCCTCCCCCGAATTTGCACATTATTTTGGCAAAATTTAATAATTCTATACAGTTTTTATGCCTAAGATTCTGTCTGTAACAAAGAAGAATCAAGATTGATAAAACTGCTAAACTACAGTAGTGTAACTGTAGATACATATGGAGAATGCAGAAGGGTGATGAAATGTTGTCCCAATTACCTAGAAATAGATCGAAATTACTGGATGATATTAACCGAATAATTGACTCTCCTCAAAAAATTTGTCAGGATCTACGTTCAAACAAGCAGAAAGATAGACCAAATAACTGTGTCTCACCTTTCATGCGCAATTATTATGTGGAGTCATTTAAATTAAGGCCTGAATTTTTTTATAGATACATCTGATCTATATGTTGATATATTAAAATATCCGTGGCTTATTAATAAGCGTAATGAATAATATAGTTTGTAAAATTTCCTATGAATAAAGCTTTAATATACACTTGAACTCACAGCAAAGAGACGTGGTGCGAACCTGGTACAAAAATATTTAAATTTATTTTGTGAAATCAAACGATTTCGTAGATTCGAAAAAATGCAATATTTTTTTACTTCCCTGGAATCGATTTTTTTAGGATTTAAATTTCTATTTTGAAAAATAATTGAGACAGCGTCTCAACGTCTCAACGGTAATGTATCAGCATGAAAGTCAGAACATGATTAAACGTAAATATTTTGCTTCGGAGACATATATTTTACTTATAGCCAATCCTTCTTTCGTTTTTAGGCAGTATGTTCCCCAAAACTGCCGAAATAGAGTTTTTATGTTTTTTAACTCGTACCAGTGGAATGAGACTTTCATTACTATGTAGAACAATGATCCCAGATACTCAGCAGTGCTGCGGATATTAGCTTGTTGAATTTATAATCAAATTTTACCACACGATTCCGAATAAAAATTGTATTAGCTGTAACTCGAGAGCTGTTACACGTTCCGAGAATTCAATTGCTGATTCATTGGGAACCACTGGGAACCATCAGATCGAAACGAATTGGAGGCAGCCATGTGACATCAACCCTTACAGATGTGATATTCGATTGTTGAACAGAAAGATATAAATCGAGAAAAACCACAAGGTATTGGATCGAACGCTGCTGCGGAAGTTTGATGAGCTGTGAGAAATTTAAAGTCTGTTAATGACATCATCATGATCGACGCACATAAGACTCTATACTAAATATAAAACTAAATTAAGCCCCAACATGCGTTTCGAAACCATGTCAACAACAATTTACTGAATCGGCATCTCATTAGCCGACTTCATAACTCAACATGTATTTCAAATTCCCTTGAAGTATTGGGGTTTATTTTGGCCTGGGGGAGTGTAAAACAGCCTAGGCCAATTTAACCCTTGGGGTTAAAATAGTCAGGAAGTATAATCTGGCCTCTAACACCGGGGAGGGGTGCTGTGAAGGAGTGCTGTGGAAGATTGATTTTGATTTTGCCGCTTACAGCGGCTACTTTATTGTGCACCCCACACCCACACCCACACCCACACCCACAGAGTAGAGTTTACAACGGGTCATAATAATTAACCCCCGTTGTCAGGATATTATGGGACTGAATGATACACAGTATTTCAAATACATTATTTGTTTAGTTCTATACATAAAGGGTAACTTATTCACAAAAGCGTGAGTACATGCGTGTGAGGCAGTATGTCTGGCCGCACACTTTGTTATTCACATTTGCGTGAGAGGTATTCAAGCACATTGTGTATTTGGTTCTGTACATGAGAACTGATATAGTTACTAAGTGCAAAAAAGTGGATACAATCTTAACCCTTTAGTGACCGTAGCCTTATAAAGTTTAGGTATAGAGCCACAACTTTCGGAAGTATTTCGTATGAATCCACTGAATGAAAATAAAACTCACTTTTTTCCCTTTCTGGTTTATTTTTGTATTTTGAGTATGTTCCCAAAATGGGAACGTTGGACACTTCCGGAGTACATTCATGATATCATCATATATATATATATACATATATATATATATATATATATATATATATATATATATATATATATATATATATATATATATATATATATATATATATATATATATAATCAGTATTATCAAAATAAGCAATTACACTCAAATTCTGAAAAGTAGTTTGACAATCATTTCTTATGGAAGTTGATACTGCACGCCTTGTGAAGTCTTTTCTCGCACTTGATGCACTTCAGACGTGTGTTTTTCTTGCATACATAGCATCTACCTTGTGAAAACTCCTGAAGAAAGTGGTTTACATTATCATATCTTATTGCTTTTGGTACAGAGGATGTTGGACCACCTTCTCGTTTTCTTGGTGTTTCGATTCTTGCAAGTGTGCGAGCTATTTCACGCCTGAAATCCTTATGGCTGATCTGAGAGCCAGGATTTACATGCTGGTAGAATCTGAAACTAGCTGCAATGGAGAGGTTCAGTAGATGAGACCAAATATTCCACCACCATTTCTTGGAGCGTAGTCTTGGCCTGTAGGTTGACAGCATCTGGTCACAAACATCTACACCACCCATTCCTTTGTTATACATTTTTATCATATGTGGCTGGTTTATTGCCTTCCTTCCTTCATTTTTTACCCATCTGTTTACTTTTTGCATAGGACTGACTCCATAGTAGTTGCTAGCTACTGTAACAATGCTGTTATCATTCCATCTAGAACATAGGACGGAATCATCCGATCTGTAGTCGTATGAACCTCTTTCTTTTTTTTCAAGTTCTTTCTTTGATAGAAGAGGGCACTTTCCTGTGCGGTTATCTCTGATTGTTCCACAGGCTCTAAACCCATTGCTTGTAAGGTCAATCATCAATGCGTGACTAGTGAAAAAGTTGTCGAAAAATACAACATGTTCATCTTTATTCATCACTGGCTGTAGCATGTCCATGACAACTTGATAGCCTAAAAGCTCCTTCTTGCTTTTATCTTTTCCACAATAAATAGAAAAGTTATAAGGATAACCGTCAGCACTGCACATCATCCACATCTTGTAACCAAACCTAACAGGTTTGTTTCTGATGAACTGTTTGGCGCTGTGGTGTCCGCG